GGTATCTCTGCCTGCCCTGACAATCATGATATTTCAACATGGTTAAAGCACTTGAAGTTTAACTTTGGAGCTGATAATGTTAGGTGCATTTTCAGTAAGGCCAGAGTCATGTATGCAAGAATACAGCCTGACCACAAAGGTGGTAGGAACCAGTTAAGGAGGAGCCTAACAGCTGGATGTTAAAGTGAAAATCAACTCCAGGAGGGCTCTGCGCACACAGAGGTTGAGTGTTTCCAAGGACTTTGGTTGAGTGAGAGATGGTGGGGCAATGGGATGAGAGAAGATGGTTGAGAGGATGGAACAGCCAAGATGGCATGCATTTTGTCTATATAGTGTATGTCCTAATGCAAAGCTCTCGCAGACTCTCTAGACTCTGTCCTGTAATGCATTACTGAATAAAGTCTGACTATTTGAGAAACACATGATAATTCATGGAGCTCCAATGAAGCCGTACGTTGGAAGATTCAGGACAGATAAAAGGAGGAACCTCTTAACACTGCACATAGTTAAACTATGGAACTCCCTCCCACAGTGGGCAGTGATACCCAACAACCTAGATGGCTTTAGAAGAGGAGCAGACAAATTCCTGGAGTAGACCTGAAGGAGCGTCTCCACGCCCATTGTTCAGCCTGGACACTGAGGTCCAGCACTGAGGGCCTTCTAGCAGCTCCCTCACTGTGAGAAGCGAGACTGCAGGGAACCAGGCAGAGGGCCTTCTCAGTGGTGGCTCCTGCCCTGAGGAACGCCCTCCCATCAGATGTCAAGGAAATAAACACCTATCTGACTTTTAAGGTAAAGGGGTAAAGGGGACCCCTGACCATTAGGTCCAGTTGTGGCCGACTCTGGGGTTGCGGCGCTCATCTCGCTTTATTGGCCGAGGGAGCCGGTGTACAGCTTCCAGGTCATGTGGCCAGCATGACTAAACCGCTTCTGGCGAACCAGAGCAGCACACGGAAACGCTGTTTACCTTCCTGCCAGAGTGGTACCTATTTATCTACTTGCACTTTGACATGCTTTCGAACTGCTAGGTTGGCAGGAGCAGGGACCGAACAACAGGAGCTCACCCCGTCATGGGGATTCGAACCGCCGACCTTCAGATCGGCAAGTCCTAGGCTCTGTGGTTTAACCCAAAGCACCACCCGCGTCCCGCAGGGTGTCTTTTAGAAGACACATAAAGGCAGCCCTGTTTAGGAAGGCTTTTAATGTTTGATGTGCTATCATGTTTTTAATTCTGTTGGAAGCCGCCCAGAGTGGCTGGGGAAACCCAGCCAGATGGACAGGGTATAAATAAATTGTTGTTGCTATTATTGTTTATGGAGGCTATCAATGACTACTAGTCTTGATGGCTATAAAGAAGGCTGATCGCCGAAGAATTGATGCTTTTGAATTATGGTGCTGGAGGAGACTCTTGAGAGTCCCATGGACTGCAAGAAGATCAAACCTCTCCATTCTGAAGGAAATCAGCCCTGAGTGCTCACTGGAAGGACAGATCCTGAAGCTGAGGCTCCAAGACTTTGGCCACCTCATGAGAAGAGAAGACTCCCTGGAAAAGACCCTGATGTTGGAAAAGATGGAGGGCACAAGGAGAAGGGGACAACAGAGGACGAGATGGTTGGACAGCGTTCTCGAAGCTACCAACATGAGTTTGACCAAGCTGCGGGAGGCAGTGGAAGACAGGAGTGCCTGGCGTGCTCTGGTCCAGGGGGTCACAAAGAGTCAGACATGACTAAAAAACAATATCTGCAGAGGCTGCTAGGAGGCCACCTGTCAAGGCTGCTGTAGTGGAAAGATTTCTGCACTGAGTGGGGAGGGGTGTCAAGCTAGGTGGCCTGGAAGATCCCTTCCAACTCTAAAACAACTAGTTTATTTTTTGAGATTTATAGAGGGTGCAGTGGTATAGCATGGGTTGCCAGTTCCCGGGGCCGTGCAGATTGGGGATGGGAGGAAAACGGACAGATTACGCTTGCGCATTCAACTGCCTATCAGGATACGTGTCGCCTAGGAGATTGCAGCCACAGAGATAAGAAAAGAAGAGTCATTCCATTGTCTGGATAGGTCACTTCTTGCATGGAGAAGACCTTTTCAACGGACCACAGCAACAGAAGTGCACAGCTGTATTGAGGCAGCACCGAATGTTGAAATTTTGCACCCCTGACGATTTTGAACCCAGAACAACTCCACCTGTGCCCCCCCCATGGTACGCCACTTGGGGGGAGCAGTCTGTAAGTGGTTTAATTAAATGCACTGAGTCTATAATCAAATGAGGGTGAGGCCCACCCTTGCACTCTGCTGCCCAGATGGGCAAAAACAGACCCTCAGGGGGCCTTATCTGTTTGCAGGATGATGCCTGGCTCATGCAGCAACAGGAGAGGGAGGTGGGGTGGGGGAATGAATCTCCATTACCCTTCCGCGGAAAGCATTTAACAAAACAAAATGAGAATAACAGAAACCAGCTTAGCAAGGCACCCTGTTCTGGAGAGAACGCCTTTGGTATGCTGCCTTTTGACATTTAAATGTTAATTCATAGCAATTTTGCTTGTGATTAGACTGCACTGTACGTTTAGGGAAACGAGATGATCTGCCAAATATTTGCCTGAAATGCACCTCACGTGGAGATCTCCTTCTCTCTGTGTGTGTCTCAATTTAACTCTCACACACCAAAGGCCCAGGTATCCCTGCAAATGTACCTGGGCTGAATACTTTCAGGATAAAATTGTAGCTCCGGGCTCTTAAAGAGACAAGCACTGGGCAATTCTGCCTTCTCACAGTCAGACTGAAAGGGCTGAACGCACCAAAGGGAGAGGGAGACATCCCAGGTTAAGCTCCACAAAGGAATATAGAAAGATGCCTTCTACTGAGTCAAAGCCTTAGTCCATCTAACTCAGGGGTGTTTTTTTAGCATGTTTATTATTTTACATTGATTTACATTCAGATCACACAACATACAATTTACATCAAAATCTATTTATCTTGGCGACTTCTCGTCCTTACATCAATAATAATAATAATAATAATAATAATAATAATAATTTATTTATACCCCGCCCATCTGGCTGGGTTTCCCCAGCCACTCTGGGCAGCTCCCAACAAAATATTTTAAATACAATAAAACATCAGACATTAAAAACTTCCCTAAACAGGGCTGCCTTCAAATGTCTTCTAAAAGTTAGATAGTTATTTATTTCCTTGACATCTGATGGGAGGGCATTCTACAGGGCAGGCACAACCACCGAGAAGGCCCTCTGCCTGGTTCCCTGTAACCTCACTTCTCGCAGGGAGGGAACTGCTAGAAGGCCCTCAGAGCTGGACCTCAGTGTCCGGGCTGAAGGTTGGGGGTGGAGATGCTCCTTCAGGTATTCTGGGCTGAGGCCATTTAGGGCTTTAAAGGCGCACCAACACTTTGAATTGTGCTTGGAAATGTACTGGGAGCCAATGCAGATCTTTCAAGACCAGTGTTATGTAATCTCGGTGGCCACTCCCAGTCACCCAGCCACATTCTGGATTAGTTGTAGTTTCCAGGTCACCCTCAAAGGTAGCCCCACATAGAGCACATTGCAGTAGTCCAAGCGGGAGATAACCAGAGCATGCATCACTCTGTCCAGACAGTCTGCGGGCAGGGAGGGTCTCAGCCTGTGTACCAGATGGAGCTGGTAGACAGCTGCCCGTGATGGTCTCATTCTCTTCCCTGCTGCTCGTCCAATATTTTAACCTTATCTATTTTCCTAAATCCTATATTACACTCTTTCCTATTTTCTTTCCATTGCTCATAAGTCAAAACCTGTTGGAAATTTTATTTGACTGTGTTGTGTTCTTATATAGACCGAAAAGGGTCTCCATTCTGTCACACATATTTCAGCTTTCCGGTTCCTTATTTTAGAACAAAAATGAAAAACACCAGAAATCCCAATAAAGGTGGAATGGCTACTCAAGCTACTGGAGCACTCAGAAATGGCATAACTCACAGCTCAGTATTGTCTACACAGACTGTCAGCAGCTTTTACATGGCTTAGTCCCCAAACGTCTGGGAGACCAAGAGTCTCCTGCTTCCCCCTGCCCTCAGAAATTCAGAGTGGTGGCAACCAGGGAGAGGGCATGAAATATACTCGGAGTCGAGTGTGAATTTCATGCTCTTTATTCAGCTCGTAGTAGGAATGAATGAAACTTTCCCCAAAACATCTAGCTATATATACATTATTTACACAATGGGCTCCGCATGACTGGCTAATTCCGGGCTGCTCCTGTAGGCCAATCAGGTTGTGGATTCGCTTCCTCCAGAAGCCTGATTGGCTGCTCCTGCTCCTGGACCAATCAGACTGCTGCATTCTGGATCCTATTGTTCTAGGATTCACCTCGGTACATAACAGGGCATTTGCTGTGGCAGCTGCTCGGTTTTGGAATTCCCTCCAGAGGTGCTTCTGGAACCCTGCCTGGGAGCAGGATTTCAATTTTTGTTTCAGCACAGAGTGCGTAGCGCTGCTTACACTGACCTGCAAATGTCTAGCATAACTGCCTGGAAAAATATGAAACCGTTTTCCTGCCCTGCCTTGCCAGAGGTAAACATCTGGGCTCTTGGGGTGAGTGGGTGAGAGCAGGTGAAGGACAAGGTGGCCACTTTCACTTCCCAAGCATCATCAAGCTCCCCCACCGTGGCACCAATATATATATATATATGTTCACAGTGAATGTAAAACAAAACAAAACAATTTGTGCTTTTTGCAAGGCGTCTATCTGGCCCCTTGCAGAAGCTCAGGCTTTTGTTGAGTGAGTAGCAAGATGCATGTGGACAGCTAGGCTTCACAGGAGCAAACACTGAGAGAAGAAGCACAAATATATATTTTTAATGTTGGGTGTGAGAACCGCGAATAACCCTTGCTTAAGCCCTAAGAACTGCAAACAAATCTGCGAATGAATCACCATCTTTCAGCATGTGTGTGATTGCACACACGCAGGGAACTGTTCCCGGAAGCAATGCAGTTTTAAGCATCGCAGCTCCTCGGTGTTCACAGAGGAGTAGCCAGAGACCCAGAAATGCTTTCTCCATCTTCGTAGGATTCCCAGAATATCCGGCATTGTGCATTCATCTCCTTGAACCATGCTGGTGCAGCCTGCAACATCTCCTTGCTGCGTTCCCTGAGAGCTCTTTCCCCGCCTTTCCAATTGAGGAAAACGTGTCCAAAGCGCTGTATCGCTCCTCCTCCTCCTCCATCCCCATTTCCAGCCAGACGGAAACCTCCTACCAGCCTTCTGTCAAAGAGCCTCTGCTGCATGCTGATGGGCTGAAAGGGGTCCGGCCGCATGGCAACCTTGGCTGTGACATTTTGCAAACAAAGACGATTGCGAGAGCCCCAAAGTAGACTTTGTTTGTGCTGCGATCCTGCTCTGAGTCACTCAAGGCTTCCTTCAGCTGCCTTGGCAGACAGCACAAGACTCGCCAGGGATTTTGCCCGCTCACTTGCCGGCGTATCTCTGCTCGTCGAGCAAATCTCTGCTCCGGGAAGATATTTACCAGCTCCCGTCTGCTGCCGATGTTACATCTGCTTATGCGGTCCCAGTTCTTGGATCAGTTTCTCGCATCAGTGTTCTGGAACATGGATACAACTACCTGAGGGCAAAATGGAACATTTGCCAGATCACTTGTGAAATGTGCATGCCTGGATTAAGGGCACATGCACAGCAATATTATTATTATTATTATTATTATTATTATTATTATTATTATTATTATTATTATTTACTAAATTTGTCTATCGCTCTTCATCCACGAATCTCAGGGCAGTTCGCCACACAAAACTACAATATACAAACCGCAAGATTCATAGTTAATATAAAAGGAGTAACAAACCAATAATCCCCCCTCCCTTAACAACAACAACAACAATTTATGATTTATACCCCACCATCTGGCTGGGTTTCCCCAGTCACTCTGTGCGGCTCCCAACAGAATATTAAAAACATGAGACAACATCAAAAATCAAAAGCTTCCCTAAACAGGGCTGCCTTCAGATGTCATCTAGAAGTCAGATAGTTGTTTATTTTCTTTGACATCTGATGGGAAGGCATTCCACAGGGCGGGTGCCACCACCGAGAAGGCCCTCTGCCTGTTTCCCTGTAACCTCACTTCTTGCAGTGAGGGAACCACCAGAAGGCCCTCTGTGCTGGACCTCAGTGTCCGGGCTGGACGATGTACAGGCATCAGATGTCAGTCAGCCAATGTCAATCAGCCATGCATTTAATGCACATCGCTTCACCCAAAGAATCTTTGGAACTATGGTTTACCCCTCACAGAGCTACAATTCCCAGTGACCTTAACAAACTACAGGATTCTTCTTTTGTGGGGGCAGTTATGTGCTTTAAATGCATTGTTACATGCCACTCCTATCTTTTAACAGTGACAGACTTCTCCGGGGTTCAGTTTCCTTGGGATAAAGGTCAGCAGAGACTATGGTGTCTTTAGACTATCTGGTTTTATCTACACATATATACAACCTGAGCATAGCTTGAAGGGGCTCACAGCATTAACACCCAGACAGATCTTGCTTCTCTGTTCGTCACAGCTTTGGATCCAGCACAGAGCAAGCAGGTCTCTGTGTTGCCATCTTCCAGCTGGTTTCCAACTCTTTCTTTTTTATATATGCATTTTTATTAATTTTTTAACATATTATTTCCAGCAGTCATACCGCATAACTTCTCATCCTATACAATATTTTTGGACTTCCGTCAACGCCTCTGATGATTTTTCCATTATTTATCACATATTATGCATTTCTTAATTTCATGTTACCTTTAATATCCTTAACTAATAATTCTCCTCATTGTCTTTTTTGCATTTCAGATAATTCACCTTACAAACTTCTTGCAAACCTACTAGCATGATCTGTTCATCACAATTACTTTTGAAATAGACTGTAAATTTACTCCAGTCTTCTGAGAATCTCTGGTCCCGCAGGTTTCGAATTCTTCCTGTTAGTTTATCTAATTCTGCATAGTCCATCAATTTCATCCTCCATTCTTCTTTCGTCGGGCTGGTTTCCAACTCTCAACTGCCTCTCTGACCATTGTTCTCTTACCTAGCAGCTAGGGAGCGGAGGAAAATCCCACACATTAACCTGGAGGGCACCGTTACTTAGAGAGCCAGTGTGGTATAGTGGTGTAAAGAGTATGGGTTGCTCGTGCGTAAGTTGCCGCCTCTCCTGGCTTTGTTGCCTTGTTAAACCTTTCAGTCTGGACAGCCCTTCACTCCGTGGCTGCCTCAGTCGCTAGCAGAATCCGTCAGTGGGCGTTTCTTAAACCTTTTCCAACATAAAAGTTGTTTGACGCCCAATCTCCTCCTACTCTCCCTGCGCGGAAGTCTTCTGCGCAGGGAGGACGTGGGTAGCGGAGGATCCGTGCTCTCCCCGCTGGTGTCGGGTGAAGAGTCCTGGAGCCCTCTCGCCGATTCCCCCATCTGCCCCCCTTTATCCCTGGTGTTGCGCTGATTTGCTTCCCCATCTGCTGAGCTGCCTCTCTCCCTGCTGGGCCCTTCTCCAGCATCATTAGAGAGCCTCCCCTCCGCCTCTAGCTCCGAAGTCAGTTCCCTGACAAGTGGTTAAGAGTGGTAGACTCCTAATCTGGTGAACCGGGTTCGCGTCCCCGCTCCTCCACATGCAGCTGCTGGGTGACCTTGGGCTAGTCACACTTCTCTGAAGTCTCTCAGCCCCACTCACCTCACAGAGTGTTTGTTGTGGGGGAGGAAGGGAAAGGAGAATGTTAGCCGCTTTTGAGACTCCTTAGGGTAGTGATAAATAATAATAATAATAATTTTTTATTTATACCCTGCCCTTCCCGGTTCAGAAAACCAGGCTCAGGGCGGCTAACAACAAATTTAAAACACTTAGTTGATGCAACAAAAAAAAGCATAAAATAAAGTATAAAACGTGAATAACAATAAATTGAGAATTCAAAAATCAGTTTAGGGGGAAAATCCACGCAAAAAACATTAGATGATCACCAGGGCTAGCTGGCTAAATTAGTCCCATTTGGGCCAGCGAGGAGACCAGGGGAGAATTAGCTGTGGAATCCCAGAGCGGGTAATCTTCATAAAAAAGGGGGAGGGGGAGGGAAGGAAGGGGAATAAAAGATCAGGCTAAATTCAGATTGAAAGCCAGGCGGAATAGCTCTGTCTTACAGGTCCTGCGGAAGGAGGTTAAATCCTGCAGAGCCCTGGTCTCATGGGACAGAGCATCCCACCAGGTCGGAGCGATCACTGAGAAGCCCCTGGCCCTGGTGGAGGATAGTTTGACTTCCTTAGGGCTCGGGACCTCTAAACTATGGTTATTCATGGACCTTAAGGTCCTCTGCAGGGCATACCAGGAGAGGCGGTCCCGTAAATACAAGGACCTTAAACCACAAAGCAGGATATCAAATCCAAACTCTTCTTCTTCTTTGTAGCTCTTGCAGCCTAGCTGATTCTTTTGGGATGCTAATGAGGACGCAAATGGCCAGCTTAGGTCATACAAAGGAACTTCCCCCAAAGGTTGGGACTTTTGTGATAAGGAAAGTTGTGGGGAAGTTCGGGGTGGGGGGTGGTGATCCTCTTAGTAGGAAGAGGTGGAAAAATTGTTGCATGTAGCAAAACTACCTAATTTGCACCTTCTGAAACAATACATTAACTGAAACACAGACATCCTTTGAAATTTGCACATCTCTGAATTTTATAGTGTGGTTCTCCAGCCAAATAGTGTGTACAAAAATGGATATACAGTCGTACCTTGGTTCTTGCATGCCTTGTGGTTCGAATGGTTTGGCTCATGAACGCAACAAACCCAAAAGTGAGTGTTCTGGTTTGTAAATGTTTTTTGGAAGCCGAACGTCCGACGCGGCTTCCGTGGCTTCTGATTGGGCACGGGAAGCTCCTGCAGCCAATCGGAAGCCGCGCCTTGGTTTCTGAACATTTTCAGAAGTCGAACAGACTTCTGTGACTGATTCTGTTCGAGAACCAAGGTACGACTGCATTGGGTTAAAGTGTGCATATATTCATAAAAATGACATATAAAAACGCATGGTAATTGAAGGGATTTGCTTTTCAAAAAGGGGCATTGTACGTTACACAAAATTGCATGCAAAATTTTGTATATTGGGAGAAATTTGCACTAAAATGCCGATGAATTTTCATGAGGACTTTCTTTTTAAAAAAAGAAATGGAAATTGATGTGGAAATGTGTGGAACTGAATTTAAGACCGGAATAATGAGAAAAGGAGAGAAACCAAAAGGGACCGATTCACCCACCCCTTCCCCTTTTTTCCACCAGCCAACCCTGTTTAGTTTGGGGGTAAAGATGCAAGGAATACTCAGCCTGAAGGAGAGAGCTTCCTGGTGCCCACATAACAGGCTTAAATGGATGACAGCAGTGGATGAGACCCGCTTTGCACAGGCCGCTTGGACCTTTTGCCGGAGCAAAGCGTCAGCCGGCGCGAGGCCTTGGCACCCGCCTTGGTGATAAGGGGGAAAACGCCATACCTGATAAGAGGCCGAAGGGATCGTCAGCAGGTGTCAGAACAGATGGTGGAATCATAACATTTCGAAGAAGGTGCTGATATGAAATGTGTCAAAGTAACGGTGTGTGGAGGGTGACGGCAGATAGCGTGGATGTCTGTCGCATTTTCCCCTGGAAAGATTCTCTGCACGTAGGAAAGGTGGAATTGTCCTCAATGGCCATCTTGATGCAAAGGAGGCAAAGATCTGGTCCTAGGACTGATCAATTTGGAAGGAGATGTCCAGATGTTCAAAGTCCCTTCCTCTCTGACACTTTAACTTTTCTCTGCTCTCCTTCCTTTTTTGATTTTCCTTTCTCCTCTTTCACTTTCCACCTCCCTTTCTGTTCTAAAGACGAAAGGATCTTTCAGCCAGATGCAACCGGCTGACTAGCTACGCTCTTTATTTGAGAATGCTAGACTATTTACAAGGATTCCAGGATGCTATGTGATGCTTTAAAGGAGAGGGGGGTTTTCTTCTTCTTTCCCAGGGAGATGAAGGCTTAGGATTCATATTCAAATTGCTTGTCATAATTGCTCCGTCAATGCCGTTATTATAGCATTCTTTAGCTATTATTTCCTCATCTCTGTACTATTCCCTCCTGGGCTGTTTGAGTGGATGTTTTTGCTGTCCCTGTATTGTAGACCAACAATATTAATCCTCGTCTGTTCTTGAGTTGAGCATTGTGTGTCAATAAACTGTTTCATTCATTCCTGAGTCTGTGGTCCTTAATTCAGTTTTACTTACTTATCAGGGCACATTCAAGCCCAGATCTGCAGAAGCTGC